CTCCTCTTTCCTCCTTTTCCAGTGTTTTGGTCTCTGTATCTCATTTTCTTTACATCACACCACTGGGCGACTTCCCCTCCACAACCCTAGAAATTTATTCCTTCAAGAAGGAACATAGAAAGTCTCTGGGTTAGGCGGCATCAGATGCAGTTGAGAGGAAGAGTACCAGAGTGAAAACAGGGAGAGTATTAGTGTGTCTCCTGAATATTGAGACACCTGTAGGCTTTCCCCAGGAAGCTGCAAACAAAAAGGAGCAAACATCCCTGACTGGTGTCGCTCAGTGGGTTGGGTGTTGTCCCGAAAACCAAAAGGTCACCGGTTTGATTTCCAGTCAGGGCACATTCCTGGGCTGTGGGCCAGGTCTCTAGCTGAGAGCATTTCGAGAGGCAACTGATTAATGTTTCTCTCCCTCCTTTCACCTCTCCCTACAAATAAATAGGTAAAACCTTCCCCTCAAAAAGGACCAAACAAAAGGTACAAATAAGTGGTACCTATACTATTGGAGTGCAAGAAAATAGTGCAGGACTGTTATTTATAATATGCTGATCCCATCAATGCCTAATTTCTATTTTTTAATGTTTTTAAATAAATAATTTATAAATAAATATACATACACCGGATCAGGTTCAACATTTGTTACTGATAGACATGATAAAAGTTTGGACATGCATTATAAGTATGAATTTTTGTAAAGATAAATTGCATTAATTTCAACTTGTACATAATTTTATCTATAGCTATATCATTTTAAAAAGACAATTTAATGTAATATTGTACAGAGGTTGTGTTTAAAATAGGAACAAAAGTAATATACCTACAGGGAGTCAATGTTCAGCCTGGAATAAACTTCCACTGAAGCTTTGATAACTAAAAAATTTTGTTTTATTTTAAAGATGTAATTTATTTATTTTTATAGAGAAGGGAAAGGGAGAGAGAAAAAGAGGGAGAAAAACATCGATGTGAGAGAGAAGCATCTTTTGGTTGCCTCTTGCATGTGCCCTGACTCCCTGACTGGGGACCAAACCTGCAACCCTGGCAAGTGCTCCAACCCAGAATCAAACTGGCAACATTTCGATTTGTGGAGCAAGGCCCAACCAACTGAACGCTAATAGTCAAGGCCAAAACGAACATTTTTTAGAGAGTTAACTTAATTCAGTGTTAAAGCAGAAATACATAAATGGAGATTTCACTAGAAATTTTCTGTTTTCAGCAAAATGAATTCCCTAGGTAATTCAAAGTTTGATTAAACTTGAATCTGTTTCAAAATCAATAGGTTTATAAACAGATTCAAAGGTTGACTCAATTATTCTAGTTCAGATGTCTTCAAGTAATTTATTATAACTCTTAACAAAGGCAAAGCAAAAAAAGCATTATTTCTTATAGTTAGAAAAGGGGAAAAAAAGCAGTGTACTTGTTTGAAAGCATGAAATCTGTGCAAACTACTGCAAAGAGCTGGCATCTCTCTACCACAAGAGAGCAGTAGCACTCAACCATTGTTAATGGGAACCCCACAGAGCAGTGATTTTTCAACCCGTGTGCCAGAAGAATTTTTAAAACATGCAATGCCTATTTAGTCAGGGGCACTGACCTCTTTTCCCTTAGATTGTCAAGTAAAAAATGACAATAACCAACACAACAATAGCCGTCATGTGTAAATGCCATCTTGAACAACAAATATATAGGCCATATAATAGAGTTGCATCTCATTGGTTACGTCTCATAATAAGGTTATGTCTGATTGGTTAATTCTTGGTGCCAAAAATCCTTATGTATGAATATGGGCACCTGATTTTTTTTAAAAGTCACTTTGCAGCAAAAATGGTAGGTAATTACTATTATTATTATTATTATTATTATTATCAATCAAAATCATTCCCAGTTTTTGTCAGATGGGAAAAAATATTTTGTTGTGCTGTAGAAATTCAATAATTAATTTAGGTGTGTCATGAGATGAAAAAAGGTTTAAAATCTCTGCCACAGAGCAAGGGAGGTTTCATTAGAGGAATCATTAGAGCTAGTTGTTAATGCATCAACCTCTTACTGGAAAGGGCAGGGAAAAGGAGCTTTGGCCCAGACAGGTTCAGAGCTTGTGTTCCCGGTAACAATAAAACAGGAAATAAGCAACAGAGGCTTGTGAAAGGGAGTGACCTCCCTCCCCATCCTTGTGTCCTTGAATCACCATGGAGATGGCTGACTGGCTTAATAATAGTTGCAGATAGGGGTCTATTCATTTGGATGTCAGATAAGAGCACTGTGGCAGGCATCATTGGAACAGAGCTCTTAATGGGGGCTAAGGAAGGAGAGAATAAAAGCTGTGGGGAGCAGGAGAGCTGTTGTATCTCAGAAAATCATTAGGATTGGTTTTAGAAGTCCTAAAGACTTTTATTTAATTTTGATTCATAACACTAAGATAATCAAAGTAATCTTTGCATTTTATTGCATTACCTTGTTCCAGAAACTAATAAATACAAGAAAGAATTGATTACAACAAATGCACCTCAATATTTTAAGTATGTATGTTGATTGGTCTAGTATTTCCCATAACATGAGATGAATCGGGTATATTTAATGCGTTCTCGTGACCAGCATTTGTTTTCGTTTTTATTCATAATTGTCACTAATGTTACTGAGTTATAATGTGAAAGGACTTACTATTTGAAAAACCTAATTTAATTATTCCATAATTTAATGTTGCTTTAACATTTATTGAATACTTACAATTGGAGGAAAAGACAGTGCCTCTGTGTGTGTGCATTAAAAGATAATTTTAGAACATTGTGTTCACATTTTAGTCAGTTTCAAATAAAAATTGAGACTTGTGAATGTTTTCCACATTCTTTGTACCTTCGTGTTGATGGAAGATAGGAAGTTAATTATGTTCTCTGTTTTGTCATTTAACAGATATCCATAAGTGACATAATTATCATTGTTGCTAAAGAACTATGGATAGATGACATTTAAAACCTCATTGCATTATATGTATTTTGTATGGTTTATTCAACTCAAATTAGCCAACATTTATTAGGCTAGTCATTGCATGAGATACTGGAAGTAACAAAAATGAATCAAACAAAACAAAAAAATAAACCTGAGGATGAGAGGCACATGACAAATTAACTTTTTTTGAACAACTACTCTGTGACAGATTTTTGCATATCTTTTCTTATTAATCTTCATAAAAATTCTGAGGTATTATTCCTGTTTTTGGAGGAAGGGCTCAGAACAACTAAGAGACCTGCTCAAGGTCACAGGACTAGTTGGAGTAGAGTCAAGATTGGGACCCAGATCTGTTCAACCCTAAGACCCTAAGGTATATTCTTTCTCCATTGGACCATTCTGTCTGAATTTTAGTCATTGATGTTAGGGTGGTCAGTGATGTGTGCTATGAAAGAATTCACAAAGAGAAGAAAGTGTAGAGAGTAAAGTAATTCTCCAAGAAAGGAGAGGAGCATAGTGTGGAGTGATATACCAGTGGGGGGGGGGGTGCTTTAAGCTTTTATTGGATTAAAATTGGATTAAAAAGGGGTGGAGGGAATGCTGTTGTGTGGCCCCTGGGTTGTTGGGGAGTTATAACCCAAGGCTGCAGTTTGTTCAGTGTTACCTTCTGCCTGTGGTTAGTTCTGTTCTTGCTTTCCAGTAATTCTGGTCCTGGGGACAGAAGCTCAGAGGAGTAAAATAACAGTCACGTTTAACAGGGTCATAGGCCAGCTCAGCAAATGGTGCCACAATAGCAAATGGCACTCACTTGATCCTTTCAGTTGACTTCTGGGAAAAATGTAACTTTTATAAATGGCAGTTTAATAGTTTGCAACTTAACAAATAAATCATAATGGCATGCAGTGATTATATACCTAAAAATAATTTTAAATTAGGAAATATTCCAAACATAGAAGTTTGAGACTAATACCTGTGTAGTCATTATGAAGCCATATTGTATATCCTACCTTAAAATTGTGCATGTTTAGTCAGACATTTTTAAAGAAATAAAACATAGAAACAGCAGAGACTCTTACCCCTCCCTGATCCTATTTCTCTTCTTCCTCCCCAGAGATAACACTATTTTGAACTAGGTGTTTATCCTGCATGATTTATTTTTACTTCACATTTATGAATCTATAAACAACATATTATTTTGCAGGTGTTAAAACTTTTAAAAATTGTATACAATTTGTGGCTATAATCAACCAGTTCTGTGAGGATCCTGATCACCAGTGTTTTAAACTGTGCATCTGAGAGTTTTGCTATTTCTTCATCGCTTAGATTTATATGCTCTGGGGCTTTGAGATGTTAAAGGGACTTATCTAAGAAAAAGAAGTTAAAAAAACATGAACAGTGAAAGGACAGCAAACTCACAGTTATTAACAACCATGCCTAAAACAAAAGCAAACTAAAAGGACAGCTAGATCAGGAGCAGAAACATAGAAATGAAGATCTCAAGGAGGACTAGCAATAGGGGAGTGGGAGGAGGAGAAGGGGAGAGAAGGTACAGAAAATAAGTAGCATAGACAGTAGATAGAAAATTGATGGGGGGGCAAGAATAGTATTGGAAATATAGAATCTAAAGAACTTGTGACACATGGTCATAAACTAAAGGGGGGGTAATGGTGGGGAAGGGGGGTAGGGTGGAGGGGAATGAAGGGGGGAATAGAACAACTGTAATGGCATAATCAATAAAAAATAAATTTAAAAAAATAAAATAAAATAATTGTATACAAAGAACATATTATTCTACAACTTACATTTGTGCTTAACAATGTTTTGAGATTTGTCCACATGATATATATAGCTTTAGTTCTTTAATTGTTAAATGCTGTGTAGTATTGCATTAACTGAATATGCCAAAAATTTTTAATCCATTATCCTGTGAGTAGATAAACAAGATTCTGCTATGGTTTTGATTCCAAACATATCTAATAAATTTTCATCGTAATACTGGAACTTATATTTTAATTTAAAAAGTACATAACTATCCACACTAACTTTTTTTTCCTTTGGTGTAGATCACTCCCGAATCAAAGTATGGAAATTTGGAAACATCATCATCGAGTACCTATACCACTGGTCACACATCTGTTTAGCTCTCACAGAGATAAACCAAAAACTAAACGATTCTGTTACGCCTCCCTTCCCCTCCAAGACTGACTCCTGTGTGTATGCAAAAATGCCAGGTGGAAGCTGGCTAGGTAAATGCTAGTGGAATTGGTGCTGTATTTGGGATATTTTTTGTTATGTTCGGTTTTGTTAACTAAAAAATATTTCCAACTGGAAAGGAATGCCACATAGACATATTCTGTTCCCAGATACTTACTTCGGCACTTTCTGAAACCAAAAGTGCTACCTAAGGAGAAATTTGATCTAAAAAATATCCAGTTAATGTAGCCATAACCAAATGCATGTTACAGCATATATTTAAAATTTTTCTTTTAGTTTTAATTTTGTATCTGCCATGGGACTACCATGGTTGATTAGACAGAGTTAACTTTTTTAAGGTACAAAATAAATACTGTAGTTTTAGTAAAAAAAAAAAATGGCAGTCTTTACATCAAAATAGTGCCAAATAATATTTTAAGAAATAGACTGGGAATTGTTTTTCCAATTTTTGAAAGACTTATATAAGTACCACCCTTTCTCCCTCCCCATTGCCCACCTTCTACCCCCATACACACTTACCTTGACAACTTAAAAGTTATTTCAATGAATATAAATTCTTGTGGGGAAATGTTTGTCCATGACTCATGGAAAAAAGTAATCACCTTTAAAAAAAGAATAACAAAAACCTCTCAAGTTCAAGAACTACTAAAAGACTTTGTATTTATTTAAGGCTTGTTATTACAGCAAACTTTACTGCTTTATTGTGAGATTTCATCTTTGCAATAAAATATCTGATGACACAGTCCATTTTTAATAAAATTTTGGGAAATTAAACTTCATTTTCTTTATTTGGTTGACAAAATGTGATGTGTCCCAAACATCTTATAATTTGAGATTTGAGGTCCCTTTTAAACCTTTTCTGATAAGATGGCAGCATTATTACCAGTCCTCATCTCCTGGATGATAGCATGCCCAGCTATAACCTATAAGACGTTTTGTATTGGTAACAGGGCTTTTCAGGGCATTTGCAGCAACTTTTCTAGGAACAATGTTCTTGAAGATATTAAATAGATAGACACATATCCTGATGGCTTCAGAACAAGCTTATAAGGAATTCATGGTGAATACAAACGGTACTTTGGGCAGCAAGAAGGACACATTTTTGTAGAATGCTACCTTTAACCACTATCATGGGAATGAAGTTAACTAAAGGGTACTTAGCTTAATGATAATAAATAATATATTGTCATGATGCTCTAACTCGTTTGAAATATTTTCACATACTAGCTCATTTGATCCTCCCAATAACCTGTAAGATAGGCAGTCTCAATATTATTATCCCCATTTGTAAATGAGAAAGTTTCTAAGAGTGAGTGAGTAGCTTAGGTCACGATAGCTCATAGGAGGCAGGGTAGAGCTGGCACCCATGTGTCCTAATTTCTGGTTACTGCCGTTGCCCCAGACAGCTCACTAACACTTTCCAACTTTTATTAATATATTGACTATGCATTCCATCTTTTGGAAATTACTTTAAAATTAAATCATCAGCAAGGCAGATTGGTTAAATGCATCTGTCCATCATTCAAGTAAAATACTACCCCTTAACACCAGGAACTTAACTTTTAGTAAAGAAGATGTTACTCATACCTAATAAAAATTTAGTTATAGATCTATATTTACATCTATTTGACTGTATCAGCATGCCATGGCACACTAGTATGCTGCAAAAATTTTCAAAACGTGTGCCACAGCACACCAGTTGACTACTTAGTGTCTGGTATTGCATGTTTTAAAAACTCTTGCAGCACACAGGTTGAAAATCACTGGACTAAATAGGTTTACTGATTTACTTAAACTTACTTCTATAATACCTCAGATGCCTAGACTTGACTGGTTGAATTTTTATTAACTCCTTCTCCATCACTTATAGGTAACAATGATATTGTATGGTGCAGACAATGCAGACCACTTTTGTTCACTATTATGGATTCCCATGGTCTGGGGACAATATAAGATTTCAAGATAATGATATTGGAATCTCAGAAAAATCTCCTATTGGCTCTTTTAACAGTTTTATTGAAATATAACTCACATACTATACAATTCGCACACTTAACATGTACAATTCAGTGGTTTTTAGTATAGTCACAGAATATACTAAATTCTGCAACCATTATAACAGTTAATTTTAGAACATTTTTTTACCCCCATCAGAAATCCCATACTCATTAGCAGTTAATTCCCATTTTCCCCCACTCCAGCCCTAGGCAAAAACTAATCTTGCTTTCTCTACGGATTTGCGATTCTGGATATTTTATATAAACGGAATCACACAATATGTGGTGTCTTGGGACTGACTTCCCATTCCTTCTTAAAGTAAATGTGATCAGACAACCAGCTGGCCTTAACTTCCACAGACATCCCCAATTTACTGACTGAGATCCTCTGCAGATAATTTTTTGACTTTCCATTCCACTCCTATGTCTCATGCAATGCCACTCCCACCTAACCTCACACCCTGTCATTATTAACTCTGTGTTTATACTCTCCCCTACATGATCTTACAAAGATCTCTCCCAACAGACAAGATCAATTAACTCAATACTTACTGCCTATTTCTTTGTCCTTAGGGATGATAATTATCCTCAGTGGCTGTTTCATCTCCTAGTTAATAACTGTAGTTTTCCTCTCCTTAATCTACTGCCTGAGCTTACACTGTCCAGCCCACAGACCACAACTGGTGACGCACCTCCAAGTGACCACATTTTGTTCCATGTGACCCTGACTCTCCAACCACAGCTATTTAAATTGGAATTGACCCCTTGTCAAAGGGAGACCAATTGTGAAATGAACTCATATAAAGGTACCCAAACCGTGGACAAATCAAACTAGAAATAGCAATAGGAGTGGTGTCTAAAAGCACATTGTTTAAAGAGGGCAAAAGTGTCATGACAGGCTGTCTTCCAGACACTACAAGTTAGCAGAAGCTGTAGGTAGAGAAAAAGTTAGAGAATGATTACTTGGTTAGGGAAAAGAATGGACACAAAGAAAAGCAGAGACTTAAAGAGTAGGGAAATGACATTAGCTACATTAATGTCCAAATATTAAATAGATGATCCAGGAGTTTGGGTGCCGAGGTCCTCACAGTTGTCTTGGATCCAGTACCAGTTGTCCATTCTGTTCTTGAAGTTTAGGAAAGTCAGAATGCTCTGTTGTGTAACAAGCAGGAGTATGGTAATGATGATACTACCTTTTACTGGTTTACTCTGCTGTGTCCTTCCGGCATCTTCAATTAAATTTCCCAAACTTGGTTTCAAAATGTCAGGCTTCTCTGTGTCTGATTCTCTGCTACAAGTACCACCATTGCCGCAGACCCTGCCAAGTGATTGGAGTTTGAATTCTCTGCAACGTTGCATCTCGGAAATCAGCCTTCTAGCTTTGAGAAAAATCTCTTGAAGGCAGTGGGAATATACGGAACTCAATACACCAATTTCAAAGGTCACATTGTATTGAGCTGTACTTTGTGTAACTAATTCTCCATTCAGTTTCTTTAAGCAAGAGACAGCCCAGGCTGGGGGCTTTATTTTTACCCTTTATCGATTCTTTTTATTTTATTTATTTTTTAAAGATTTTATTTATTTTTAGAGAGAGGGGGAGGGAGGGAAAAATAGAGAGAGAGAAACATCTCTGTGTGAGAGAAACATTGATCCTTTGCCTCTTGCATGCCCCCAACCGGGGACCTAGCAGGCAAACCAGGCACGAGCCCTGACCTGGAATCTAATCAGTGATCATTTGCTCTGACGGACCTCTCCCAACCCACTGAGCCACACCAGTCAGGCCTGATTTTTTTTTAAACAAAGTAACACATGCTCATACTTTAAAGAATCATCCAGTGGTACAAGGTTTGTTAAGACCAGAGCATTTCCCAGTCCCACCCCACTCCTGTTTTCCTTGCTTCTGAGGCAACTACTTTCTGATCTTTTAGCCCAGGAGTTAATGACACACAGGCTAAATCTGGCCTGTTGCTTGTTATGATAAAGTTTTATTGGAGAGGACATGCCCATATTGTCTTTGACTGCTTTCACACTTCAAGGGCAGAGATAAGTAGCTGACACAACACCTGTGATTCACAAACGTAAATATTTACTATCTGACCCTCTGCATGGTTTGCCAACACCTATTCTGGCTTAGTTTTGACAGTTGCCTCCATATTGCAAAATAACATGCTGTGTGGCTACGTTTTTTTCTCACCTAGACAATATTTATTGGCCTCCCAGTATAAAATACAGAGATTTAGCTCCTTCCTCAGCATGTGGAAGAACATATACATATATATATTTCCCATCCCTCCATTCTCCTCAATATAATTACATTGTAATTTAGATTAGAAGAGATCAATATTCCATGTTTGCATTATTTTTTAAAGATTTTATTTATTTATTTATTTCTAGAGAGAAGGTAAAGGAGGGGGAAGAGAGGCACAGAAAAATCAATCAGTTCCCTCTTGCACACCCCCAACTGGGAACCTGCCCTGCAACCCAGCCATGTGCCCTGACAGGGAATCAAACTCGCAACCTTTAGGTTTGCAAACTGTCACTCAATCCACTGAGCCACATCAGCCAGGGCAAGTGTTTGCATTATTATGAATATGTATGCTATTTATGGCTCAGACATATAGGAAATTACAAGCATTTTTCTTTTCTGAACATCTTTATGCTTTGCCTGGAGGTAATGTCAAAAGAAAACTTTTAGAGTGGCTGGAATGACTATAATAATATCACGCAAAGATTTCGGAGCAAAGAATAATTCCATGACCAAAAAGGTCATTTCATTATGAAAAAGAAGCCAACTAAGAAGACATAGCTGCTTAAATATTTATATACTTAACAACAGAGTTTCAAAATACATGGAACAAAACTCCAAGTCTGTAGAGAGAGAAGTAGATTACTGTTGCCAGGGGCTGGGGGTTTGGAAAGAAATGGGAGTGACTAATGGATACATAGTCTGGGGCAGGTATTTAAGATATTCTAAAATTGATTCTGGTGATGGTACCACAACTCTCTGAATATACTACAAATGAACGGTATACTTTAAATGGGTGAA